GGGGCCTTTCTGGGTGGAGTTTGCATGTTCTCTCCGTGCATGCGTGGTTTTCTCCGGGTGCTCCGGGTTTCCTCCCACAGACCAAAAACATGCATGTTAGGCTGATTGGTAACTCTAAATTGTCCCTAGGTGTGAGTGAGAGAGTGAATGGTTGTTTGTGGTCCTGTGATGGACTTGCAACTCGTCCAGGGTGTACTCCACCCCTCGCACAGTGATTGCTGGACATGGGCACTGGCGACCCCCATGACCCAAAACGGAAGAAGCAGGTAAAAGATAATGGATGGATGGATGGATGTCATGTCATGTTTTATCATAGTTTTCCTCACTGTAAAAAGTAGAGTCATCTTTAATGTTCCCTAAAACCAAAAGCATATCCACTAAGAGGCCCATTGGTAATTTGGATGCATAAAGACAATAAATATATAAAAGCCAGATTTAAAGATATGCCAATTTTACAGAATATCCACTCAACTAACAGCTCTATTAGCCGCCCCCCGGTCCTCATCTCACAGCAGTAAATCACCGCTTCAGTCCGCCTACAATCTACTTTTCATTGTGCTCTGTCTCTGGCGGGGAAGGGCTGGCCGACATGTCTGACATCTATGTAAAACACTCAGATGCAGTGGGAGAGACGAAACAAAGAGGGGATCGTGTGTTGTAATCACAGACCTGAGCTGCTGCTGCTGCGTCTATCTTGGCTGGCTGAGATTGCTGCTTTCCTTTTCCAGCCGACTCCACGTGCCTCGCCTCTTCGTCACACGTGGGGCTCTTGACTTCTGAAGGGCCCGGTCTCTTCTCGGGTCTCTCACTCACCACCCTCTTACCCTGCACAGAGACAACTTCCCTCAGGTTCTAATGCACCACACATTCACTACAATGTCCAACTCAAAAAACTTTGTTCACATTAGGGACAATTTCATTTTAATTTGAAAAAAAATCCCAAAAACGTGTCAGTGAAGGTTAATATTTTTAGGCTCAAGGACTGTATCTTTAAAACTCGTTAAATTTTATTCAACTGTCTGATCCTCTGCGATTTACTGCCGTCAAAAATCTGTTTACAAACTTAAGTTTTTCCAATGTTTTAAATCTGAATGATGCAATTTCTAAGACCTCAGTGAAGAATTATTATTGCGTTTTAAAAACATATTTTAAAGACCTTGTATTGACAATAATATCATTTAAGTTAGAAAATCAAACAAAAAACGCACGAATTTTGGGGCATTTTGTTTTCTATTCAAGGAAAAAAGCAACAAACAATATTTGCTAAAGTTTCATGATCGTGGCAGCCTAATCTATATCTAACCGAAGATAAATATGTGAGCAATGCCTATTTTAAATCGTAACGGTCCCGTGTTCGAGGAGAGGTGGCATCTAGTGGTATAACAGCAAATGTTCTCAAAGTAACACCAAATAATTCAATACAAGTTTAATTAATCTCTGCTTATTTGGCTTTTACTCACTAAATGTGAGCTAAAAAATAAGAGTTAGATGAAAGAAGGTATTCATCAGATAAGCTAAACTAAAATCCAGACATCAGAGGAAAAACTACCTGAAACTAGTGCATATCACATAAATAAACGGTGAAAATAAAATGGAAATATACTGAAATGTCTCTTGATTCAATTCTGGTGGTTTTAGTTTGAACTGTGATTAGATATTGGTGCCGCTGCTTTATTTGTGCTTGTGGGTTGTGTTTGCATTTAACATCTATTCTGATCTTATAAGTCTCTTAACAGACATACAACAACATATAAATGTAAAAAAATACTATCATTAAAAAGGAAACTAAAAACCAAACAGAAAACGAAAACTGTATTGAAGAAATAAAAATGAAAACTCAATTCCTTGTAGTTCTTCCCTAATTGCAGCAAAACTACAGAAAGCTTTATTTGTCACTTTGGGTTGAAATGAGTCCAGAAAAGAATTGACCTTTTTGCCAGCCATGGTGACGGTCAGCTGCTTCCTGTGGCCTCGCCCAGAACCCTGCGCTGGACCTTCTTCCCCCTTGTCCGGTCCAGGCTCCTGCTGTCCTTTTCCAGCTGGAGACTCGCTGCTGCTCGGCTTTGTCACCACCACACGACTCTCCTGCTCCCACACAAAAAGAACAGATTCTGGAGAAAATATATCAGTGGTATTCCAGGATCAGGATTTCTATGACACTGCTGTGGACCCTCACATCTGTGGACTTGCTGATTGTGATGGTAAGATCATCAGCTTTGCCTTTTCGGCTCTGAAGCGCCATTCCTTCCTCTTCTGCTTTTTTCCTGTCCTCTTCCACCTCCTGAATGCAAAATAAATGTTTTATCAGGAAGCTTTTAAGAGCTGCACACACACGAGCATCTCCACCTGCAGCCACTTATCCTCACCTTGTACCTTTTCATCAGTGCCTCATTCTTCCTGCGGAGAGCCTCAATCTTCTTGTCCAGCTCCAGATCTCTCTCGTGATCCCTCTTCGGCATCACGTTACTGGTGGTCTGAGTCGACACATTCAGTCATTAGTCGCACAGATTTACTCTTAATAGTTTGCTCATAGAAAACAGTTCAAAACAGAGATAGTTTTGGTTTTAATTAACTGTTGTAATAAAAATAAGAGCAAAAAGATCTTGATCATTTGTTCCAGCTTTACAGAGAACAAAAAACACCCACACAACAGGCAATTAATTCTGGCCAACCATATGTTCGTTATGAGAAGACAGAGAAGAGTGAAATGCTAATGACAGACTCCATGTGCTTCAGTAACGCAAAACACTGACACATGGTCGCATCCACCACAGATGGAGCATTCATCATGAGGCTCAATTACACATATGCGGAGCATCCTAAACATCCCAGTGCAGTCAGCAGGACACGCCTCATCACGCCACGCGAGGCTCAGGGGCTAAAAACCTCCTGGTGCAGCCATGTAAGCTCTATGATAATGTTCCTTTACAAAAAAAAACCTACCTCGATCTGAAAGTTGCTGCTGAGCCGAGGAACATCAAATGTGCCCAAGCATCAAATATCTGCAAAAAAATAATCTCACTCCCCTCCACCTGCTGTAATTTAATATTCCCTCTCCAGTCTGGTTTGTGAAGAGGTCGGAAAACGTGGCTCAGCTGAGTGGCAGTAAAACAAACCTTAACAACACATCTTTGTGATGGAGATAAGAGCTTGTCATCGACTTTAAAGCACACTGATCAAACAATAGTGTATTTTCACGGCCACATTTTAGTTTATTTTTAAAGGATGGTTAAATATTGTTAGAAATGTGCAAAATTCCCACCTTGCTAACTGAAGAGATGACCTTATTGTGAAATAATTTAGCTTAATTTATATAAACTGTTAAAATGTTGTTTAATAGCACGCACATAATAGTGCAGTTTGTTTTAGACTGTTTGTTTTGCTCTATAGATGTTTTTAGTTTTTGAAACTCTAGATTTTTCATTTATAATGAAAATAGATTAGTTTCCTCGCTGACTGAGCTCATCCATCCCTGAGTACTCAGTTTAGCTAAGCTGCCTGAGCTGGAAAGTCTCCAGGTGGTTTCAAACTTCTCACATTGTTGAATGAGAACGATGAAGATGATTGTTCAGTACTTAAATTGTTTAAAGAGGGTTTTTTTCTTATGGCTCCCAAGTCTTTTGCTTTTTTACAGTACTCCATCTCCCATCTTCTACCGCTTATTCGAGGTCGGGTTGTGGAAGCAGCAGGCCCAGGAGAGAAGTCCAGACCTCTCTCTCTCCCCAGCTACACTCTCCGGCTCCTGCTGGGGGATCCCAAGGTGTTTCCAGCCCAGAGAAGATACACAATCCCTCCAGCGAGTTCTGGATCTGCGGTGAGGTCGCTTCCCAGTAGGACAAGTTTGAAACGCCTCCAAAGGGAGGTGTCCAGGAGGCATCCTAATCAGAAGCCCGAACCACCTCAACTGACTCCTTTGAAGCAGAGGAGCAGCAGATCTTACTCCTCACCCTATCTTTGAGGCTGAGCCTGGCCACCCTACGAATGGAGCTCATTTCTGCCACTTGTGTGCTGGATCCCGTTCTTTTGGTCAAGATCCATACCTCATGACCACAGGTGAAGGTTGGAACATAGACAGACCCAACAATCAGCAGCTTTGCTTTCTTACAGTCGTGTCCACAGATTTTTTTTTAACCTTACATCAACTGGTTTATGAGGCACATTGTAGACATCTACATCTAAAGATGTGACATCTAAAATAATCTGAAGACATTTATGTGATTGTAAAAATCACAATAAGTAAAAAGATAAATGGAGTTTGTATTAAAAATGCCAAATGTTGCAGTTTTTCCAGGCTTAAGAACTAAAAAAAATCATCTCTGTGATCCTATCTACAAATGAAACTAGCATTAACTGAAGGAACACCTCTCGTTGGTATTTTGTTCATCGGCACGTCTCCTTGCATGCCCAAGTTTTAAAGATCCTGAGTGATCTGTTAGTTCTCAGAGTATATATAGTGAATAACTTTCAGCTACTACTGCACTAAATCTGTAAAACTGAGTAAAAATGTGTCCCAACCAATCAAATCCTTATATAGATTTTTTTAAAGACCTTTAGTTTTAAATATACAATAAAGGAAGATAAAAAAAGGAACAATGATTTTATTGTATATTGAACTTAATTTTAAAAATGGTTACAATGAAACTGTTTTTCATCCATTACTGATTATATATCATAAAGTTTTACGAGGCAGAAGGAACTTCCTTTTTCCTGTAAGACTGCGTGGTTCAGATTCAAGGTTTTAATTTTGTTGAAGGTTCTGAAAGTACTCCTATAGATATGAGTTCATAGCTTTATAAAAAAATGATGCATAACTGTAAGAAATGTGTTATAGTGATGCGAATACAAATATGTGAGTGGCCTGATTGAAAAAAGCATTTACTTTTTTTAAAATCTAGACCAAATCAGTCCACCTACAGAATATAGTAATCAACAAAAAAGGCTCTAAACTTTGAAGCAGCGCTGGCTGCTGTTATTCACAGCTAACAAGAAGTGATAATGATGCCAAAGAGAAGAGTTGCCAGTTCTGCTCGTCTTAACTGTGAAAACAAAGCATCATTCATGTTGAACAATCCCATTCTCCACAGTTTTAGTTATTCTGAGGGATCTGCAGAAGTAAGTAGACGTGCCAAAGTGAGTCAGTCATCTTACTCTGTTGCACGATGGCAACACAAGAGCCGATGTTGTCTCTATGTGATGTGATGACTCACTGTGATCGAGCGAACAAACACCATCACCACACTCCACATCCTTGCAGCTGCTCTACCTGTGAAGAACTGCTGCAGCTGAGATGTTCAGAGTTCAGTTATGATTTTATATCAGAGCATGGGAAAAGTTTGAACTCACTCAGAGAGGCGGCAGGCTGGGAATGGTTACCTCACTGCTTCTAGTTGTCAGGGTATCCAAACACAACACACCATGAGGACATACCACCAAGAATAGGCACTACAGAGAGCTGACTGTGAATCTCAGCAAGCCCAGTGGCAGAGGCTGAAGAGATCTTCTACAAATCGATGACTACTTCTGGGTTCAGGTGGCTGGTTCTGTCACAGTGCAGCAGAACAGCTAAAATGCAGTCAAACAATAGAGAGCATCTGCCAGAGAACGGATGGCGCCCATGCCCTGACAAGAGGGCAAAAGGGAGAGGGAAAGGACCTGTAGGAAGAAGCTGCCAAGGTTTCCTTCCTACCCAGCGTTCCTGTTTCCTCCGGCAGTGGAGAAGTGAAACACAGCCACAGCTAAATCTGCGACAGAGCAGAGGAGGGAACCTAACACCAGAGAGAAGAGAAGGAGAGAGAAGGTACTCACAGGTCTTTCCATGTCAGCGGTGAGAGCTGGGCCAGGTCCGGGAGCAGGGCAGCCGAGGCGGCAGAGAGGGCTCCCTCCAGTCCGTGATCATGCCTCGATTAAGAGCTGAGCTGGGCAAGCAGCCAAGACGTGTAACAAACGCACAGAGCTCCCGTTAACACATTTTACAGCACCCACCCGCTCGTCCTCCCTCTCTCTGGCTCTCCAAACCTCCCACCCTCCTAGTTGTGTGCTCCGTCGCTCCCACTCTCCCCCTACAAAGCACTCACTCTGTCCCCTCCTCACTCATCTCAGAGCATGTTGCTGAGACCCTGTTACTCTGCCCACTCACCTGACACAGCAGCAGAAGAATAAAAACACGCTTCATGCTCACGAGTCAGCAAATCAAGTCTAACTCTTTCTCTTTTACACTTGGTGATGCATTAAGTTCAGAAATAAACGGCTGTTTTTGTCGTTTATTTATTTGTGTTGGCTGAGGCCGCAAAGCCGTGGCGACCATCAAAAATTGGGTTGACTCCAAAAGTTAATCAGTTGGAGCTGCTACATCTAGTGATTACTTAGGAATTTTGATCAAATCTGTCTCGTGGAGACAGAAAAAAAAATCTTACTTACTTTTTCTCTATTCTCGTGGAATAGAGAAAAAGTAATATTTTTGAGTGGAATTTGCAAACATTTGGGTTTTCTTTGAATACTCTGGTTTCCTCCTATTTTCCATTCCTCTGGGTGTGAGTGAGAGAGTGAATGGTTGTCTTGTTTGTCTCTAAGTGTCCCTGTGATGGACTTGTGACCTGTCCAGGCCAGGACGTCCCCTCTCACAGTGACTGCTGGACATGGGCACCAGCAACTCCTGCGACCAGGAAAGAAAGAAGTGGGGATAGAAAATGAATGAATTGATGGATGGATGGAACAGAGATGCGCTTGACTTGATCTTTAATAATAATACTGGTGGATACTGTAACCAGGGGTGGAAGTAATGAATTACAAATACTCACGTTACTGTAATTAAGTAGATATTTTGGGGTACTTGTACTTTTAGAATCAGAATCAGAATAAGCTTTATTATTATTGCACCGAGATACAACGAGAATATGTCCATCCAGCTGTCCGAAAGATGGGCAGAGTGCACAATGCTGCTACTATAAAGCGCTGCCTTCTTGTCCTTTTCAGAAAACATTTTTTAGATAGAAAAAGTGGCAAAGCCATTAGTAGAGGATAGTGGCATTACAAAAAAGATCTCTTCACATCTTGTCCTAACAGGACATGATTTAAGACATCAAAAAACTCTGCCAGCAAGCACATTTATGAGCATGTTACATATGCATTTGACAACGAGGTGGTCCATGCAGCACTAACAGATAGTCCATTGTCCTGATAAGATGATGGTCAGCCAGCACAGTTCTGATAAGCCTCCACAGAGGGAAGTGGGGGGGGGGGGGGGGGATAGACGAAGCTTTTCCTTAGTTTACACATTTCCCAGGAGAAATTGATAAGTCGGCCTGTTTTGAGGTCAACCAGAGAGTCAGATTCAGATATCCACAATTGTTGATTTATTCAGGCAGACTATTTTTTTCTTTGAGTCTTACAGATACTTCCAAGGTCCCAATTGGCCAGATTAGGGTGCATTCTACTGGTCCGTGCTTACGAGCATCTTCAAGGTCGTTTCCATGCTGACAAGTCCCAAAGCCGCAGGTGGCCTGCGATTCAAATCACTTCCAACTTACAGTTTTGCACATAAATAAGCTGATTTTGAGTCCTCCAAGCACAATCCAAACCTTCACATAGGCAGCAGCCTGACCAGGCCAGATTAGCTGCTGCCATCTTCTTTGTATGTTGATAAACCAGAATCCAGACTATTCTAAAAACAGGAAACCTGTTATCATAAATCCAATTATCTGCAATTTCAGTATTCTCAGTCGATAGCAGAGGTGGACACATTCCCCCCAGAGATATATCCAGCTGCATTCGTCCGAGCAGATGAGGGTTCTCCAGGACCCTGTTGCTTTGTTGAAAAGATTTTGTCATTTGCGTTGAAAGTCCAGTTGGTTAGATCAAAAACAGTAGTTTTCATTTTGTAGATGTGTAAAAATAGGAGCTGCTCCGATACACAGACAAAAAATCAAGAGGAGAACAGGGAGCAGGAAGAAACGTGTGCGCCTCGTTAGAGAGCCAGTGAGGGGAGAAAAAAAAAAAAGAGTATTTCTTTCAAGTGTGTAATTTTACTCATACTTAAGTACAATTTAGACCATGTAATCTACTTTGCTACTTTTAAAATAAGAAGTCGCTACTGAGTGCGGCCGCAATTTGAATTAATATTCAAACCGTTTATCTGCACCTTTGTAGCCAATAAGACTCACAGATCCCTAACACAACAATTACCTATAACATAAGCACAGGACAACTCCATAGAGAGTTATTTAGAGTCTACTCTTCACAGCCAAACGAAAATGGATGTACTCTGTTAACGTAGAAAACCAGTTCTTGCTGACACTGAACAAAAGGTTCAGAAAGTGAAGGGTGACAGTAATGTCAGAGTTTAAGACATTGACCCGCCTGTTGTTCGCAGTGTATATGGAAAAGTTTAAACTGTTCTATGCCGGTTCAAAAACATTTTTGTCTTTCATTTAACAAACAAAATACCAGCTTTATCTACATTTGATTACAAAAGAAATTGCCTTAGTGTAATTTTTATATACTTTATTGTTCATCTGAGAAATATGCTTTGAATGTAGCTACTATATACAGTAAATCGAACTGAATGCCTTCTATTGACAACACAGTAAAACATCAATTGGTTAAAAAGTAATTAATACTTTGAGTAGTTTTTGAGAAGAGTGCTTTGTACTTTTACTTAAGTATTTTTATAACATCAGTACTTTTGATTGTAAATTAGTACAATTTAAGCAGTGTAATAGTACTTGTACTTGAGTACAAATTTTCAGCACTCTTTCCACTTCTGACTGTAACTGATTTAGGAGTGTGCATGTAGAGAATGAGTGTTTTTCCACATCTTTCTCACGTTACATTGATAAAGTTAGTTTACCGTATGTCGTCCTGAGTCTCATTCAGATGTGTCTGCATGCAAACTCAGACATCAGATGAGATGCGTGCTGCTCATTCCCACTGCAGTTTCAACAGCTGCTCCTTCCAGTTCCAGACTACATGTTTAAAATACTAAAGAGGCTTCCTAAAGACAGCAGGAGGGGAGTCTGGGGACAAAGGATTTCCCACAATTCTTCATACGTGGCGTGCTGCCTGCTGCAGAGTAGGAGAGCTAATGACAAGGAGCCAGGTATATCAGTGCCTCACCAAGAAACCAGTCACTGGAGGCACAGAAATGGGCTTCTCAGTGCCCCAAAAGCTCAAAAACAGCTCAAGCAAAAGAATAGAAGAAAGTGCTATGTATTGTCATCATATTTCCATACAATGATGAAACTTGTGCTCTGCATTTAACCCATCACATGTGAGATACACCCAGGTGGAGCAGCGGGCAGCTATGTAAGAGCCCGTGTAGTAGTTAGGGATTAGGTGTCTTGCTCAAGGACACTGTGACATGTGGGAATGGTGGGGAGTTGTACCTGCGACTTTCTGGTCCCAAGTCAGCTGCCCTACCTCTACATCATCACAGCCTCCAAAGGAAAAGCTTACACCACCTGATATTCCCAGGCGGCCTCCCCTCCAACCAGGCCCAACCCTGCTTAGCTTCCGAGATCAGAGATTGGGCGAGTTCAAGATGGTATGGTTGTGAACAAAAGCTCCTGATATGTTTTGATGCATTTAAGTATTGGGTTATTTATTGCCTAAATTATTTTTAATCTGATGTAAAACAATAAGTTTCAAACTGCTTATTGTTCAAATTATGAGTGGATAGGTATATGTTTGTATTATAAATGGAGACATTTACCTGAGTGGTAAACTTTTATTTGTGAGCTACAAAGTACATTCAAACCCAGAGAAGACCTCTAACATATTTAGGAAAATGGTTTTAAAGCCGCACTGCTACTTTTTATTTCTGCTTTGTGTCTCCAGTTGTTTTATTTTTTTGTTTGTTTTTTTTTTGCAAAATTTCACATCTACCTTACCATCATAATTCAATCTCAGTGTCACTACCTGTGCAATAACCTGTCACACAACCTGTGTAGTATATGTTAATTATGTGCTATATA